CTCGCTTGTTTTATCATATAGATTGCTCCTCTGCTGGAGGCCAGAAGTCAAAGGATGCCTCAGGCGAAATGTTTGTTTTCAAGCGTCCAAAGCGCCCAGAAGCGTATCTAACATGGTTGTCCCCAGACGGGTCCACGTGTTTTCACGTGTCCAGGCCACTCAAGGGGGAATCTAAGATGGTTGTCCCGCGCTGGAGCCACGTGTTCTTTTGTAGCCAGGCCGCCGAGGGATATCTAACATGATTGCCCCGAGCTGGAACCATGTGTTTTTAGGTGTGCGGGGAAACCACGGGGGGGGGGGCTATCTAACATGTGGTCGTCTGGGGCCCCTCAGCGTGGGGGGCCAAAATCAAAGGAGCGATACCAAATGTGTAAGGACTTTGACACAGTTTATTCGGCGGGTGATTTTCTGGATTTCCCCCAGGGTTATCGAACATGTGGTCTAACATGGTGGTCCCGAGCTAGAGCCACTTGTTTTCACTTGTCCAGGCCACCCTTTCCAAACCACCCAATGGTAGATCTAGCACTGTGGTCCCGAGCTGGAACCACGTGTTTTCACGTGGCCAGGCCACCCAGAGGGTATCCAACATGTGGTCCCGAGCTGGAACCACGTGGTTTCCCAGAGAGGGCGTGAGCCCAGGATGTGAAAACGGCGTGGGCCCAGGGTTCTCTTTTAGTTTAAACTTGTCCCCGGTGCCAAATTCATGTAAGGCTGCCGGGTTAATGTCCGCAAATGAACAGGGTCGCGCACGGCCGGCGGATAATTGTTTGATGCTATCCCGATCGCAACGCTCGTTGTTTGAAAATTCTGGCCGATCAAGCACAGGGTAAAACATACATGTTCGTGTGTTGCGGATATCTCGGGCGGAACGCTTGTTTTGCAGAAATTGTCGAGGTTGTCTCGAGCGAACCGCTTGTTTTGTGTTTAGAACTTCCTTCTCCTGGGGACCAGAATCCAGAGACGTCTCGAACGGAATGTTCGTTTTCACATGACCAGGTCCTGAGGATTTCTCGAGCGAGACGCTTGGTTTCACGCGTCCAGGTTGCCTAAGCGGATGTCTAGCTTGAGGATGTGTTGAGGATGTCCCGAGCGAGACGCTGGTTTTCACGCGTCCAGGTCGCCCAGGCAGATGTCTAGAATGAGGATTCGTTGAGCATGTCTCGAGAGAGATGCTTATCTTCACGTGTCCAGGTCGCCCAGGCGGATGTATAGCATGAAGATGTGTTGAGAGCGTCCCGAGCGAAATGCTTGTTTGGCAGGATTTGTTGAAGATGTCTCGGAAGATGTCTCGAGCGAAACGCTTGTTTTGTCTCATAGATTGCTCGTCTCCTGGGGGCCAGACTTCACATGTCTCAAACGAATTTCTTGTTTTCACATGAGAGAGAGAGAGAGAGAGAGCGCGTTTCACGGGCGCTTGCCTTGGGAACATTCGGCGGCGTGTTTCGAACCGGGGGGTGGGCCTCCCCCAACACTCGGCGCCGTCGATCAGAACTAAGGCGACTCCCCTCCCCCCAATAACCCCCCCCCTCCCGAACCCCCTCCCCTATCCCAAGGGGGGGATCCAAACCCACCCCCCCCTCACTTCGGCGCCGGCGGCGCCGGCGCCCGCGCTGGCGGCCGCCAGCAGCGCCGACGGCGGGGACGCAGCTGGCACGTCCAGCGGTGCGTCCCCGTGGCACGTCCCGCGGTGCGTCCCGTGGCGCCGTAGCGCGTCCACTTGTAACGACGTGCCGCGGTGCGTCCCCGTGGCACGTCCCCTGGCACGTCGCCTGGCGCGTCCTTTGGGACGTTCCGCGGCGCGTCCTCCTGGCATGTTCCCCTGTCAATTAGCTCTGGGGCAGCTACTATGTGCTGAGGCAGCTCGAGCTGAAGATCCAGATGAGTTTGGCCAGGACTCGGATGCAAAGGAGGACTCGATCCATAACGCTATAGAGTACAATCGCGACATGGCACATCGCAGTTCAGCACGGCGCTGCACAGCACAGCCCTCGGCACGGTACATCAATATCGATACACACAGCATTGCGTTTGCCCGTCGCCTAATCAGGCGTCTTTGAAACGTTACCAAACCTCACATTTCGGTATTCCTTTCCGGGTTCGTGGGTCGATCATGTTGGGATTGTCGCCATTTCGAACTGCCGACGTCCCAAGATGGCCCACGAGGCCCCCAAGACGGCCCAAGAGGGCCCCACGACGGCCCAAGAAGCGCCCAAGAAGGCCCCAAGAAGGGCCAAAGAGGGGGAACACGAATCGACAATTCTAGCCGTCCGCCCCGGAAGGCCCCCAGGAGGCCCCGGGCCCGCAAGAGGCCCCAAAACGGCCCCCAAGAGGCCCAAAAGATGCCCCAAGAGGCTCCCAAACGCCTCGGGAGGAATCCCTGGCCCCGAAGAGCCGCCCAGAGGCCCACAAGAGCGCCCGAAGAGGCCACGGGACTGCCCAAGAGGACCCCAAGACAGCCCAAGAGAGTCCAAGATGGTCGGAGAGAACCCCCATAGAACCGAAGACATGCCCAGACAGTCCAAGAAAACCCCAGTAGCCCACAAGAGGACCCCGACATGCCCCCAAGAGGTCCCCAGGATGCCCCGAGATAGCCCCAGACGGCCTCAACAGCCCACAAGGTAGCCTCAAAAGATCACGAGGACCCCTCTCTTCTTCGACGTCGTTCTCGTCGGGCTACTTACCGTCCTTCTTCGTCGTCTTCCTTATTATTCTGCTTCTCCTCCTTCTCCTCCTCCTCCTTCTCCTCCTCCTCCTCCGCTTCGTTCCTCCTCGTACTCGTCCTCTTCCATCTCTTCCTAGCGCTTGTCTTCCTACTCGTTGTCCTTCTGCCCCCCTCGCTGCCCTCCCCGTCATCCACGCTGCCATCCTCGACATCCGCCGCCTGGTCGTAGCCATCATCCTTTTCTTCTTGTTCCCCCTACGGGCCCAATGGACATAATCGGCGCTTCCCGTTATTGTCCGATCAGGTTTCTGAACAATGGCTCTTTCTCTCCGGACGTCCTCAAGAAACGGCTCCGGAGGGAACATCGTCGTGGACTCGCTCCCAGAGGGATTCAAAACGGCCCAAAAGAGCCCCAACGGCTCCTCAGAGGACCCCAAAGCGCCCACAGAGACCCCCAAAGGGCCCTTCAGAAGCGTCCTTTGTGGACACAACATCGGCGCTTCCCGTTCTCGTCCGATCAGATATTCAAACCCCGATCGATCAAACGCATGGTAAGATGAAGAGTTTCGTTAGTTGCGGATGTCTCAAGCGAAGGCTTGATCTGCTGACTTTGTTGAGGATATCTCGAGCGAAACTGATTTGTGTCATATGATTAGATTGCACCTCCCCTGGGGGCCAACATTCCGAACTGGTCTCAAACCGAATCCTTCTTTTCGCGTGCTGAGATCGCCCATAGGGGGTATCTAACCTGATTGTCCGCAGATGGAACCACATGTCTTCACGTGTCCACGCCACCCAAGGGGGTATCTAAAATGGTGGACCCAAGCTTAAACCACGTGTTTTCAGTCGCCCGGGCCACCCAGTGGGGTATCTAACATGGTGGCCCCGAACTGGAACCACGTGTTGTTGCGTGTCCAGGCCACCCAGAGGGATCTGACATGGTTGCCCCAAGCTGGAACCGTTTGTTTTACCTGCGCGGGCCACCCACGGGGAAGACGTCCAACATGTGATCGCCTGGGAGCCCCCAGCGTGGGGTGGGCCCACCAGAGCCATGCAACGTCAATAGAGTGGCACCATATGCGTAATAATTTGAAACTGTTTCTTCGGCTGGTGATCTTCCAGATCCCCCACTGGGGAATTTAACATGGTGGTCCCGAGCTGGAGCCACGTGTTTTCACGCGTCCAAGCCACACCCTGGTGGACGTCTTACATGGTGGCCCTGAACTGGAAACACGTGTTTTCACCTGTCCAGGCCACCCAAAGAGATATCTAGCATGGCCGCCCCGAGCCAGAACCACCTGTGTTCACATGTCCAAGCCACCCAGAGGGGTATCTAACATGGTGGTTCCAAGCTAGAGCCAGCTGTTTTCACATGTCCAGGCCACCAAGAAGGATACCTAACTTGGTGGTCCCGAGCTGGAACCACGTATTTTCACGCGGCTGGGCCACTCAGGGGGATATCTAACATGGTTGCCCCGAGCTGGAACCATGTGTTTTTGCATGTCCAGGCCGCCCCGGGATGGGTACCTAAGATGGTTGCCTCTTGCCCCTCGCTGAAACCACCTGTTTTCACGTGCCAAGGCTTCTCATAAAGGCTTCTGCCATGGTGGCCAGAGGCTGGAACCACGTGTTTTCACACGCCCGGGCCACCCAATGGGGCATCCAACATTGTGACACCAAGCTGGAACCATGTATTGTTACGTGTCAACACCACCCAGAGGGGTATCTAACATGGTTGCCCCGAGCTGGAACCATGTGTTTTACGTGCGCGGGCCACAAGAGCCAGATAAAATCAATTAATCGGCATCAGGATTGTAATAACCTGCCACCGTTTCTTCGGCTGGTGATTTTCCAGGTTTCCCACTGGGGTTTCTAACATGGTGCTTCCGAGCAGGAACCACGTGTTTTCACGTGTCCAGGCCACACATATGGATCTCCAACATAATGCTCCCGAGCTGGAACCGCGGTCACGGTCGTCGCCGTCCGCCGTCGTTGTCGTCGTCGGCCTTTCGGCCCGCCCCTTCTCGATGCATTTTGCCTCGGTTAGGATTCGCCCTTATCATGTCGCTCTGCTGCGGAACAGAATCCTTTCATAGGGTCTCGACTGCAATCAGCTCTGGGCGAGCAATGCGCCCAGGCAGCTCGAGCTGGAGGCCCAGCTCAGTTTTTCAGGATTCGGGTGCATCATTTGTGTCCCCGAGCCTGCCCAAGGGGGGCCATGGCTGGAGGGATGATACAGGCCTGGGCACCCCAGCGCCTGGGTGCAACTTTGGCCACAGGCAGCTTCGCTGGACAAGAGTCAAACATTCAACATATAAAAATCCAAGCTGCTTTTCTCTCACTGGCTCGCGTTGGTTTCAAGAGGGGGAGGAGGATTCTTCGTCGCGTTACCCTCGAACACTACCTCCCAATCTTCTTGGACATCGAGCGAGTGTGAGACGGCCAGGTACAAATAGAACATAATGAACACACCGATCACCCCCCAATGTAAAATCGCACTCACCAACACTACGTAATCCACCTTTCCAGTCTCTTGGATCTTTTCTTCAGAGTCAGGGACCTCCTCGTCCTTCGTCGCTGTGCAGCAATGCTCTCCGTACATTGGATAAGCGCAGCTGAGAACCAGAGGGATCACATAGAACACGGCCATGAGCATTCCAATGGTGTTAGCTTGGTCTGACAGGACGCGCTCAGTTGCTGGACCGCCACTCGCACCCGGATTTGACAAGGTGAACAACACAATCGTAAGAAGTATAAAGCTGGTGGTGCAGACAATCATACACTTCCTCGTGAAATCCCTCCATTTACTTTGGGCCACATTCAGACAACAACCGCTAACGACCGGTATCAGGCTTGCAGCTGCACAAGCGTAAGGCGAGCTGAACATGCAAATCACCAAGCCCATTTTGCCAGATTTGCCGAACGAGCCCTACCTGGGCGCCCCCGTGTATGTGGCCGAATCGAGTGGGCTTCCGATGCTGGGCGGCTCTGAAGCAAATCTGAGCCTTGAGCCACAATTGCTATGGAAAAAAAATGGCCACAAGATTGCCCCCGATGCCCTCAAGGGTGCCCCAAGACTGCCCCGAGATGCCCCGAGGATGCCCCGCCCAAGTGGCCCCCAAGATGCACCCCAAGAGGACCACCCAGAGGTTCACAAGACGCCTGCCCCACGATGCCTCGGCACGAAGGCCAAAATCATTGCTTTTGTTATACGGAGGTTTTGGCACCATGTTGGCCTCCTAAAGGGGGGGGGGGGGGGCGTAATTGATGAGCCCTCCTTCTTTGATCGAGCTGTTCCAGGATTGTCCGCAGATGGTCCCCCGAAGCCCCCAAGGGTGCCCCAAGATGGCTCCAAGAGGTGCCCAGGAGGGCCCCAAGAGGCCCCAACTAGGCCAGCCACCATGAGGAGGCTCCCAAGAGATCCCCGAGCGGCCACAAGAGGCCCCCCAGATGCACCCAACACGCCCCAAGAGGCCTCGGCGAGAATGCCAAAAACATTTATTTTGCGGAGGTGCTGGCAACATGTTGGCTTCCTGCGGAGGGGACCCTAATGTACTACGGCCTTTCCTTTGATCGATCTCTTCCAAGATGGCACCAAAAGGCCCCCCAGAGGCACCCGAGACGCCCCAAGAAGCCTTGAAAGGTGCCCAAGATGCCCCAACAGCCCCCCAAGAGGCCCCAACGATGCATCCAAGAGGTCCACAAGAGGCCCTTAACTGGCTCCCAAGAGACCCCCCAGAGGCCCCAAGAGGCTTCCCAGAAGCACCCAAGACACCCCACGAGACCCCCGGGACTGCCAAGAAACCCGCAAGACACCCCAAGAGGACTCCAAGAAGCTCTCGGAAGAAATCCGAAGAGACTCCGAGAGGCATCCGAGAGGCCTCTGGCCTTTCTGCTCGCTCTCCTCCTCCTCCTCCTCCTCCTCCTCCTCCTCTTCCTCCTCCTCCTCCTCCTCCTCCTCCTCCTCCTCCTCCTCCTCCTCCTCTCAGCATCATCCTCATGACCACCACCACCACCATCACCATCACCATCACCATCACCATCCATCACCATCATCATCATCATCATCATCATCATCATCATCATCATCATCATCATCATCATCAGCATCATTATCATCATCGTCCTCGTCATTGTCATCGTCTTCATCATCACCACCATCACCATCGTCATCATCAGCATCATCAACAAACTCATCAGCATCAACATCAACATCACCAACCTCATCAGCATCAGCATCAGCATCAGCATCAGCATCAGCATCAGCATCAGCATCAGCATCAGCATCAGCATCATCATCATCATCATCATCATCATCATCATCATCATCATCATCATCATCATCATCATCATCATCATCATCATCATTATCGTCATCGTCATCGTCATCGTCATCGTCGTCGTCATCATCATCTTCCTCATCCGCCTATTCCTCATCCTTCCTCCTCCCTCAAAAAAATCCACAATATGAATACTACTATCATCTCTCCTCCGATTCTGTCTGGAGAGTCTCCCGTCTTCTCCGCGCATAGTTTATAACACACAGGAGTTCATTCGGTGTTTTCCCAGAAAGGGCTTAGGCCAAAGGTTTTCTTTTAGTTTTGTTTACGCCCGTGGCATGGATGGCTTTGGCACAACATCCGCACGGCCGTGGCCAACGAAGAGTCAAGCTGATGGCCTCGAACACTGGCCTGCAAGCAAATGCGCGCGTGGCTGACACAATGCCGAAGCCACGCGGGGGCAACATACGCAATGGTGCTAATTATGGAATCGTGTGCGGGTTTGTTTGCTCTGGCGTGTTGGATGCGCCATGCTGCTGGCTGCTGATGCCACGAGGGCTTCAACATGCCCCTCAGAGTTCGATGCTAAAAGAAGGCGGCACTGCATAAACAGTAGCTTTCGGAGGTCCGCTCGCACTTCTTGGATCGGCGCTGAATCGGCATATGAAATGTGTATGCATGTATGTATGTGCCGTCGACTCTTCGAGTGCTGCTGCCCGCTGATACCACGAGGGTTCAGACATGTCCCACCACGGAGTCGGGCGTTCGTTAACGGGCAGGCAATCAACGTGGGGTGAAAAAGCTTGCACAATTCGTGCATATTTGGGGCCCGCAGTTGCAGTTTGTGGGCTGTTTAGGGGTCCCTTCGGTCCTGCAACCCTCGGTCCCCCGTTGCCGCCCGCCCCAAGGAGAGTGACGTTCGAGGGTCATCTCCGCCCCACCCCAACGTGCGGCCCCGCCGTCGAGGGCTCTCTTCGGGGAAGCCACGCGCGCGCGCCGCGAGGGCGCGCGCCCCCATTCCTCGCACCCGCGGAGAGGGAAGCGGGACCCCCACTTGGACCACCACCCCACCGCGAGCGCCGCCGGCCCGAAAGGCATGCGGGCCCACGCGGCCGGGGGTCCGCGGGCCAGCGCCCTCGGCGGGGTGGGGGGATGCCGACTTGTGGTCGGTGGGGGGGGGGGGGAGGGCTCCGAGAGGGGGCGCCGCGTCGCCGTGGTTGGACCTGCTTTCACAGTGCTGGTCGGGGCCCGCTCCCGGGAGGGGTCTGCCTGCAGGTCCCTCCCCCGTGCTGGTCCCTGCCCCGCGCCCACGCCCCGTGCACCTGCCCCCCCCTTCCACGCCCCCCCCCCCCCCCTCCCCCGCGTCCCCGCATCCCGCAGAACGCCGAGGGGGGCAGGCCTTCTCAGACGGCGGCGGGGCTTCTCGGAAGCCCTCCGGCCCGGAGAAGCCCGCCGCGGCTGGAGGGAGGGCCTGCACAGCCTCTGAGAAGACAGGGGGCCTTCTGAGCCTTCCGAGGAAGGCCGCCCCTCTGCCTTCCCCCCCTGGGCGCGCCGCCGACCCTTCCCCGCCCCCCCCCCCCTCGTCCCCAGACCTGCGACGCAGTGATTTGTTCAACGACGTGAAGCCCAGGAGCTCTCGACCCCGTCCCCAGGACCTGCCATTCGTCCCGGGTCGACGTTCGACGGTCCCGGGGCCCGAGAAGGCCCCCAGGATCTCTCGACATTGCAGAAGTAGGCTGCCGCATGCGAGCCCTGCCCCTGCAAGTCGGACTTCTGAAAAGCTTGCTGGGGCTCAGAAGTTTACGACAGCCAAACAGAACCCCAGCGGGGGGAGTCCGATACCCCAGCGTCGACAGGACCCGGAAGGCGGCGTGGGGCTTCGCAAGTGGTCGCGGAGGAAGCGCACCCGTCGTGCGTTCCCCTTGACGCCTGCAGAAGCCAGGGCCCTGGCCGCCAAAACCGACCCTCAGAGTTCTCCCGTGGTGGTCTTCTTGTCAGGGTTCCGAGGCGAACCCGGCCGTGGCGGCAGGGGCCCACAAGGAAGCCCCGGCCATGCTTTAACACTTCAACCGGTTTTCTGTTCGCAACATGAGCACGGCACGAATCCAAAGGACGTCATTCGCAGCCTGGAGCGTTTCGCTTGGCCACGGCTGGAATACGCATGTATTGCTTTCATGCGGATGGCTGGGTGCACGGCGTTCATGTGTTGCAGTGTTGCTCTACCCGCCACCTGTCCTTTGCAAATGCGTTATGTTGCCGTCATGTCTCACGCCATCCGTCTCGGTTTGCGGACCGAGATGCCTCCACACGCCCCTCGATCGGCCTTGATTTGAATTGGCGTCAACATCCTGCATCCTCCCTCCCGTGTCCCCGCCGTCGTCCTCCCCTCTCCATCTTGTCGCCCAGCCGATCGCCTCCGCTCATCGATCGAATCCCTGGCCGCCGCCCCTCCGCCCGCCTCCCTTCGGCAGGAACATCGCGAGCGCCCTCTCGTCTTCCTCGGTCGCGCCCTGCGCCATGACGAAGCCATCCTGCGTGGAGAGGAGGGCAAGCTCGGACGGACGCGGGTATGGGCGCCAGGTCGTACTCGTACTGTTTGCGATGGTGCTTGCACAAGAGCCCGGAACCGAAACAGACAACGAAGGGGAACCCTGCAAGTCAGGAGCCGGATACTGGGAAGGGAAGGAGGCTTCGCCGCCTCCCCCCCTCATCCGTAACGTACGCGCAGGGGCAGCTCTTCCTTTGTCCAGGGTGGACAGCAATCCCCTGAGCAAAAACACCGTTCAATGCGAACGACCCGGGACCAAGACCCGACGGGCGCAGGACCGCAAATCTTACAAGTGCAGCATCTTATCTGACTGACTGACTGACTGACTGACTGACTGACTGACTGACTGACTGTGGCCTTGTATACCTGGCGGACGCGAGGGCAGAGTGAACAGTTCGGCGAGCTTGTGCCTGTAGGCAGCACCCTCTCGAGAACCGAACAGCAGGACACCTCGCTAATCTACTTGTCAGGGTGTGGGCTCTGCCGACCCACAATACCCGAAGCTGGATGGTGCCGCTCCCCGGCCTCTCCTGTCAGGGTTGCACAGAAGCCCTTCCCCACGGCACCGCCTCTTCAGAACGACCCAGGACAAGACCCCGCGTGCGCAGGCCCGCAAGCATGGCTGGTGCAGTACCCTCCCGAGAGCCGAAACAAATGGTGATTGGTGAATCGACTTGGCAGGGTGCGGGTTCTATCGACCAGCAGTACTGAGCATCGTCCAACCAATCCCGGTCCCCACTGGCATGGCCTCGGCCGAGCTGAGCCTGGCCGATTTACCCCCCAGATGGGGATGTAGGCTGTTCCCTTCGGGCTTCGAGGTGCCTATCCCCAACTGGGGGGATGGGATGGTGGGGCTGAGATATGACCCAAATGGGATGGGGATACGTTGAACGCAAGATCAGTCAGCATCGAATCGGGAAGCTGGATATGATTGGAACGTGCGCCGGATATGGTTGCGTTGGCGCGGCGTCGAAACCGAATCGAATCGGCCGGGCCAGGATGCACAACAGCGCCATGCGAACATCGGTCCGCATCGGATCGACGGAAATTCGGAATCGAATCGGATCGGGCCGGGCG